TCTGTGCTCCTGGCACGCGGTCTCTAGCCAGCCGCCGTACAGCCTTCTGAGTCACCGGCACTTATAGCCTTCTGTGTTACCGGCACGCGGCCTCCAGCCGCCTTATAGCCTTCTGTGTTACCGGCACGCGGCCTCCCGCCGCCTTATAGCCTTCTGTGTTACAGGCACGCGGGCCCTCGCCGGCCGCCTTACAGCCTTCTGTGTTGCTAGCACGCGGCTTCTCACCCGCCGCCTTACAGCCTTCTGTGTCACCGGCACGCGGCATCTAGGCCCCCGCGCGCCGACAACACAGCGCAACACAGTGTAACACAGCGTAACACAGCGTGCTTGCATCCTTCAAGTTGCAGCGAGCTTCTAGTCGGTCACTGGAATCGGGGCACCGCTCATACGGCTGCTGTTTTCTCGGCGAGCTGCATCGGTAATCCACTGTGCCCTTGCTGCTGATGGAGAAACAAAGCGAAACCTGCAGCTGGCCCAAACATGTTGCAAAATAAGAATACATAGTGCATACCACCATATCAACACAAACTCCCAGGTGAAGTGCAGGAACCCATGCACAACACGCTAACACCCCCACTACATGACAAGACCACAACACCAGCCACGCAATCAGTCACTCTTTTCTCCCCCCCTGCCTGGAACCTCAATAGTGGGATTTACCACGCTAGCATGAGTGAACGCAGGCCACTCAAACCTCACACAGCTAACACATACCAGTGTTCTTGCGCACCGCACCAAAAATTAACATGACACAACATCACATTAGCATTACACACACGCAAAATGTGCTGTGAGAGGCATGAGCGAACACGTGGCACCTGGCTTAGTGGTCCACCGGATTGATAATTCCATCAACCCAGAGCAGCAAACCACTGTGAAAAAAGAAAACAAAGAAACACGACCACAGAAAACTAGCCCGAGCTCGCAACACTCGGACGAGGTCTGCCACTGGGGGACCCTAAACAAACAGGGTCGATGAGACTACACACGTCTGAGAACGCCAAAGGAAAAAATTACAAGAAATCTGAACGAAAATCAAAAAAAGGACCGTCAAATATATTACAATCCTGCAACCGCCGCCTGGTCCTGTTAGAATTGGGCGTCCCTGAATTGCCCACGGCGAGGATTGCAACGGATTGCGATCCCTCTTTCATGAGGACGAGTGGGGCAGCCATCTTGCATCTCTGGGCTGGTCGCCTCGACCGTACCTGAAAACTGTTGAATCGAAGGCAAAAACTAAAAATTACACAACACTGGATTAGTTCCTGGTCTAAATGTTCCGTCCCCGCTGACAGAAAACGTTTCTAGCTTTCCCCTGCGCGGATGGCAACGGATTCAACGGATGCAAAGAAACAAACCTCTCCATGGCCAGACTCGTCTCGTAGGCATCCTTCCTTCCTGCTCCTTTGAAACATACATCCAAAGACAATATTGGCCAAACAAGTTGTGAAACAAAACACAGACAACAAAAACTGTGTCTAAACTCCGCCGGTAGCTCTCGTACGGCACCCAAACCTGCCCTGCCACAGCCCGGCGCTCTACCGTCTCAACGCCGCGGTCGCCACGGTCTCCCCGCACAAACAGTCCCGCCGGAATCCGCGGTGCCTTGCCTCGACGGGTTTTGCTTGGGTGGGGTGGGGGGCTTGAGCGTAGGCCAGACGTGGCCGGTGGAACCGGGCCTGACCGGATAGAATGACGTCATGCTGGTATTGCATTGTGGGTGATGACGTCATACCTTCCGGTCCAATAGCCGAGCATGACAAATAGTTTTACATGCACTTAAAGTTCTACGGCGTGTCTGCGTACTCCCAAATCCGTAGGATTCCGTACGGAGGCAGTACTCACCACACACGTTTGTCCTGCGTTTGCCCACGTTTTTGCACGTAGACAGCACGCAGAAGCACGTACGGCGGGTTGTGACCGTAGCTTTAGTGTCACTGACGAAATGTAATTGCTGCTACCTGAAACATCTAACCGCTTCCGAAATAATAACCAGTTGCTTGAGAAACTGTTTTTTTTTGTGGGGTACCTGTTACCTGGATGTGTAGCCTTTTTCTTTTTGCGCATAATTTTTTTTTTAATTGCAGCTAAAATGTTTGCCAATGTGCAATTTTGCACATACCTGAAAAAGGATTTCGAGCCCTGAGTACGCAAAGGAAATCATACAGTAAGGAATACATGAAGCCAGAAATCCTGGCACTGCGCCTGCGCTAAACCTTGATGCTGCGCGGTTTCCGTTAATGTTTGGTCGACAAATAATTTTTCCTTTGTCAGACGTAATTCTTTTTAGACTACGAAGTTTAAAAAACTACAGAC